CTTACTATGTAATTCTGGCCTTAAATGCATGAAAATCCTCCTGCATCAGCTTCCTTGAGTGCTAGGATTACAGGTGTGCACCACCATGCTGGGTGACTTTTTTCACTTTTTAAATTTTGAGACAGGGTCTCACCAAGATGCTACATTTCCCAGGCTGGACTCATACTTGGAATCCTCATGCCTCAGCCTCCCAGAATTCTGAGATTGCAGGTAATATCCCTCTTGTTTTTGTTACAAGATGGGGGTCTGTTGGTTGGACCACCTGCAAGTTGGGTCAATCAAATTCTGTTTCTTAGTAATTTAAAAGTGAGGTTTGCAAATGTCAGTCTGCTTTGGCTAAGTTGAATATGTAGTATCACAAATAAGGGGCTGAGTATACAGCTGTGTTCAGCTTAGCAATGTGTACGGAGAAGCAAAGCAGGGTGTCTACAGAGAGAAATAAGGAAGCATATCAACATAGAGAAAGAAACCAAAGCCAGAAACCATCTGTGTGTCCCCAGAGGTTCTGAAGACTGGTACCAGGTTCTAATCCTGACTTTAGAGTTGTCTTAAAAATTTGGTTTTTGTTCTCCAACCTGGTCAGGTTTACTCTTCCTTAATGTAACCCAAGTTAGATCATCTATTTGAAACCCAAACAGCCATTTCTAATAGAAGTTTCTAATACAATAATTGCTCATTAGGAGGTGTTCTGGAATTTGTGATGGTGTTAGCTTCTGGGTGGTACTGTTAGAAAGCTGCTGTAGTTGTAAATGATGGTTAACCTTTCAAGTTGTTTCAGTGGAGTCCCTTCAGAGAAAAACCACAAGAAATCAGTTTAAACTAGCCAAAGCCACTCAGCTCCTCTCCCAGGTGACCTAGAGTAAATTTTGCTCCATCTAACCTCAATATTATACTGAATTCTTCACCCATTTGGCAGTCCCACCTGCCATCTGTATGAAGAAGGATGACCTCCAGCTGCACAGGAGCAGAAATGTGTCCACTTCTGCTTCTAATGATGAGTCTTTGCTCTGTGAATATGTATGTTTACCGGATAAAAAGCCCTTTTCTTTCTTTGTTTAGGGAGAGGTACTGCTTGGCCTTACCTGGGGGTGTGTAATGAATCTTTTAAATCCTGGTTGTTCTCTTTGATTTTGTACTCACCTAGGGGCAGATCCACTGTAGTAGATTATCACAATAGATATGGCAATTTAATGCTAAAAATGTTCTTTATTCTCTTGACTCGGTGGAACTTTTGTAGGCAAAGTTCTTTGAAAATATTTTGGGAAAGGCAATTTGGGATGAAAAACGTAACCAATTGGGTTACACAGGGGCCAGGGATTTAGCTCAGTGCTTCACTTCCACCTTCCACCCGCTGCCTTGCAATCCCAGGTACCAAAAAAAAAAGAGTTACCCAGATTTTCCTGTTTTTTTTGTTTTTTGTTTTTGAACGTGTCTTTGTAAGAGGATTCTTTGGAGGTCAAGTTTGAGTTTGCTACCAAATAGAACATAGAGATTACTTTGGATAATTATTAAGGTAAAATATTCTATGAATCTCTAAATAAGCAATCAAGCATTTTAAACTACTTTTATCAACATCCATTTGCAAAGCCATTTTATCTGTATTTTCAGCTGTAGAGATAAGTCATATAAAAGGGTTTATGATGTGTTCAGTGTCCCACACTTACTAGTATAGAAAATTTGAAGCAACTTCAAATGTTCTTTCAGATATTACATGTTCAAAGTGAAAAAAATCTTGCTTAGATTTTAATTGAACTTGAAATTTATATTTTAAAAAGGGGTTTGAGGTACATATCTTTATTGTAAGAGGCTTTTTTTCTTTTCTTTTTTTTGTACCAGGGTTCAAACTCAGGACCTTCCACTTGCCAGGCAGGCACCGTGCAACCTAGCCTGGCCCTAGGGGCTTACATTTTTACGGACATGGGGTTTAGTATTCTTCAGAGTTAGTACATATTATGAGCTGTTGATTATTGTATCTAAGGCAGAGCAAAGACATCAGCAGTGTGATCTACACAGTTCAGATAGCTTCCTAGTTTCCTGGAAAAGGAGCCAGAGGAGCAAAGATCTTGTGTGACCTCAGCTGTTTCTGAAATCACCCTCAGCCCAGCTGGAACATTCCTGGCATAACTTCCGTTCTCTGTGGCAGATTGTGGAGTTGCCAGGTTACTGCTTGTAATTTTTAGAAGCATTAAGTCAGAGTTCTGCGCTCTGGGTGATTCATCTTGCACTCTGGAGGAGGTTATGAATGTTAAACAGCAACCACTGGTTGCTGTTGAAACTGTTGGCTCTGGCTCATTTCCTAACTTAAGTGTCTTTGATACAGTACTTTTTTTTTCTGCAACCTTTTTAGGATCAAAAAGATGGGTTGTATTTCCTTTCCGACTAATTCATAAGAATATGGCACAAGTATTTGGCATTAAATTGTAAAAACAAAATGTTTACTACATTAAGGAAAATTAGAGCTGAACTTTCAGCTTTCCAGATTGACTATTAAAATACCAAATTGAAGTTGTGAGTTTTGGAATCTGAGACGTGGGATCCAGAAATGTGTGGGGAACCTATTTTTCGGCATTTTCCTCAGGAAATTCTACTATAATGCAAAAGCTGTTTTTAGAGCCTTCTGAGTAATTTATTGTTATGTGATATTGGACAAACCTCAATTTTTCATATGTATTGTGGGAATAATATCTAACTTCTCAAGTGGTTGAGTAGAATGAAAGTGAAGCAGCTATACACGTTATTGTACATCAGTAGGTATGATTGTACCAGGCTTCAGGAAATGCAGGCTAGTATCTTTGATTTGTTTCTTGAGAAGATACTTTTTTACTTCGATTAAAGTTTAAAAGATACAAAACATTATACGTGGTATCTTTTGAAATCTTTTACCGTCTTGTCTCCAGCTACTTGAATTCCCTCCACAAAGTCAGCTGATATATCAGCTTCTTGTGTATCTTGCCAGATATATTGTGTCCCTAAAATTAAAAACCTGTAGTTAGCGTTCCCCTCTTCAAAAATGGAAAGTTTGTCTGTTTCCTCTTTATTTGTGGTTTTTTTTGGTACCGGGGATTGAACTCGGGTCTTTGCACTTGCAAGGCAGGCCACCAAACCGCTGAACTAAATCGCCGGAACTGTTTTCTCTTTAAAAATTTTTTGGAAAATGTGTCTTGCAATTTGTTCATTTTCGTAGTTTAATTCGCTTTTAAGCAATTGTGGCTAAATTAAGCACAGCTGCATGTGCGAGAGGGATGGCTGGGTGTACAGCTCGGTTATCTATGATTATTATGCAGGTATAGGTACTAATTAAATGACCGATTGTAGTCCTCCACAACTACACATTCATTTACTCATTGATTCATTCATCAGATTTTTATTGCACGCCTGCCACGAGTCAGGCAGGGCCCCAAACCCAGCGGAGAAAGGACAGATCCCGTCCTTAGCTGTGGCCCGTGCTCTGCTGGGTGACGCTTCTGACCCGTGCGGACCGCGGACCTCCATCCTTATCCGAGGGGACCACAGGACGCCAGCAGGGAGGAGAGCCTCAGAGAAAGCTTGCGCTGCTAAGTCATGGTGATCCGCAGCTGGGGACACTAACCCAGTTAGGAAACTATCATGCCTGTAATCCTAGCACTGAGGGAAGCAGAGACAGGGGATTTGCAGATTTGAGGCCACCTTGGTACCTTGGTGACTTAGCGAGACCCTGTTTCAAAGCAAAAATTTAAAAAAGGGCTTAGTGTTAAGGCCCTGGGTTTAAGCCCCAGTACCAAAGGGGTGGGGGAGGAACAACTAGGAAGCAGTACAGAAGGGAGGCCCCGAGAGCACCGGGGCGGGAGTAGAGGGCGGGGCGGGCGACCTGGCCCTTTAAATTGGCGGCGGCGGGAACCGCGGCCTAACAGCCGCGGGAAGGCAGGGCCGAACAGGGCGCGCACTACCGCTGACCAACCACTGCCCTCCGCCCCACCTCCTCCGCAGGCCTCTCCAATCAGCAGCTCCTTTGTGCAAGACCGCTGGGACTCGGCGTCAGCGGGTGGGTCCCAGCGAAAGCTGACACTCGCGCGCTCTTTAGGAGTTTCGAACGCAGTTGGCTCTCAAGCAGAAAAAAAATACTAGCGTGGTGACCAATGGCGTGCCAGTAAGGACCCGCGAACCGACCCGGCCCCTCTCCGCTTGGCTGGGACACAGATCGGGCCCGGCCATTGGTCCGCGCTATCTGTCATTCGCCGCAGCGGCCAGCCCGGAGAGACCTCTTGGGGGCTGGCCCCGCCCAGGCGCGAAATGTAACGCGGGAAAAGCGGAGCAGGCACCGCGGCAGCAGGTTGTTATTTTCGGGGCTCGGCGCCGCAGCCCGAGTCTAGGTG